ATAAATCAGAAAATTTTAAATGAACATAAATTAAAATAGATTGTAATTGTTAAATATAAGTAAGAATTGAAAATAAGTATTAATAAGTTGTTTTGTTTAAATTTGTACCAAAACACGCAGTAAAAGTAAAAATCGATTTCAATTTTGTTGAAAGTGTATAAAAATTAAAAATAATAATAATATAAATAATAATAATAATAAATGTAAATAGATTCTTTTTTCTTATGCACATGAATTTTAAGTAAAAGTAAAAATATTGCTAAGGATTGTAATCTTTGGAGCCATACGTGATTATACACCATGGCTTAATAAAGTTTTACATACACACATATATACACACGCATACCCCGCAACAAAGGTTGTTAATGTCCTTTAAAATCTTTCTTTCGCTTTACCTCGCACAGTTCACTGTTTTATTCTGGTGGTAAATACCAGGACGGCAGTTGGCACTTCCGCGACCTCACAACAGCAGGTAGTGAGCTCGAATCCGGCTCGGGTCCATCGGAGCTGTTGTTGGGTGGCGTCAGGGGGCAAGCAGCGGAGGCATCCGCATCATCCAAAATAGAATCAACGACTGGCTCCTGTGTCTCTTCTACTGGTTCCGGACGGGGAAACTTGTCTTTATTTGTGATGTTGACAAGTTTTTTGACGTCATTATCTTCCAACATCCACTTTTTAATCGTTAGGCCAACCTTACGTGCCTTGGCCTTACTAGAAAACTTATTGTTAATGGCACAAACGTCAAGAACTTTAATTTTAAGGCCTGGCTTCTGGCACGCAAGACTTTCACTTTTTGCACTTTTGCATAATTTTTTCATCGTTTGGCTGTTGGGTGACGGGGCACCGGACTCAGCTGCACTCAATGGCAACGAAGCCTTCAGTATCTCGCCCTGGTCCACATCATATGCTGCGGCCGTTTCACAGCTGCTGCTGCGAATCCGCTTTGGACGGACGAGGGTATGCTCTTCGCCACTGTCCTCATCCGAACGTCTACGCTTCAGCGAAGACGTAGAGCTTGCAGATTTTATCTGCAGTCGGCTGAATTTGCGACTCAAGGCCAATGGAGTTAAAACATCAACTTTAAACTTAAGACTAACACTGTTTGAGGCCAACTTAGAACAACACTCGCGAAGAGTCTTTTCATTTTTCAGCCACTTCTGTAGCTGATATCGATGAATATCAAATTTATGAGCGGTTACGCGCTCATTCTGCTTGCCGTTATTAAAATAAAAATCAAGCACGGTGAGTTTAAACGGTTTTGAAGTTGCAACACCGCCACCCATGACAGTTTTTAAATATCCGTTGCGCGGATAATGGGGTAGCTGCTGTCGGTGTTGAGATTTTGGCTTGCATCTCAGCAGCTTTATGATGGCACTATTCTTGCAAACCACTCCACTTTCTGCCGCACAAGACATGTTGTAAAATTATGGCACTCACTAAAAACTTTTACTATTCGTCTAACTCCACTGGTCACTTGTTACTAAAGCTACTGCTGCTACGCTTAGTTGGGCGTATTGCGA